ACTTAACCAATTGTTGTCAGATTCAAAAATTAGTTCAGAAAAGATCAAAAAAATTATCCAAAAATATGTTTTCAAATGGATTTTTCACTCTATGAATACTTTGAAGTTCAGTGTGACCATCATGACTACTAGTTAATGTTCATTTATTTTAGTATTCGCACTTTATTTTAAAGGTTTTGTTGTGTTTCGATTTGATTACGTAGAAATATGTACGATGCACAAGTGTAGACACAAATGAATCAACTAATTAATTATATACTTGATGATTATCGATTAGTTGATTGGCTTACTTAGATTTCGACAAAAATAACATTAACTAGACATTACTTTATCATTTATTACTAATTAGATTTTACATATTTTGCTCACAAATGTTCATGACGAATATCACAAGTCATCAACATCTTCCTGATATTTTGAATAACTTACTGGGTAAGTTTATTTTTAAATCAAATAATATTACTGAGTAAAATACATAAAATTGTTACTTTGACTTCATGAATATTATCTTCCATAATTGTTGGTTACCATTGACAGACATATCTTTGATCTTGGAATCAACATTTATGTATGATAAAAGTAATGTGTAATTTGACGAATAGTACATGCTGTATATTAGATGTGAGCTATACAGATTACTACTCAAAAACATAAGAGCCATTACAACAAACAAACTAGCATTCTACGTCGGTTTTCGTCATCTGCATTATAATTTTACCATTAGACTGTTTATCAGAAAGTAAACTGACGAGTAGTGGAATACCTTCAAATTTTGTATAAAATATTGTTATGGTGCTAAAAAGTTGGTTTAAAGTATAAAACTTTAAAATTACTTACTGCAAGCATGTAAATGTGTAACATAAACTGTATTTCCAGGACATATACATCTTCCAGCTCCAGGATGACATACACTTAAATCCACATGTACGCAGTCTGAATCGACTCGGCATGGAAGATCAGTTAGAACTTAACATGGATAGAAAATAAAACGAAATCAGTCAAACAAGACTGATTAATGACAACATTTTCATACAAAAACGAAGAAAAAACAATTAGTTGACCTGGTACTGTCGTACATGTTTGACTACTTTATAAGTGAATTCGTACATCAGAATCCAAATTTTAATACAAAAATTTAATCAGTATTTATAAATCATTCAATAAAATTAATACACAAGCTGTCAAGATACAATTCTGAAATACTCAGAAATAGTTCATTATGTGATTAACAGGGACACAAGAATTGCATACTTCCTTTTAGGACACTAAACTAACCAAATGTTCAAAGTTGAGAACATCATCTTGTCTAGTCTTCAACACAGAAGACTTCAGAGTAAAATTTTTGTTTGAATGACTCAATGTCACGAAATATTCTAGAGTATCAATTATCTCTAATTATTAAAGATCTATTTATTAGGAAATAATATTGTGTGATCAATTCCATTTACTTTGGTGTTTAAGGTTAGGCTGGATGTCCACTTCTTTAAACGATTAACTTGGCTTCGTCGTTTCTAGGACTCGTCAGCTGGATATACCTACATTCCAGAGTTGATGTTTACTTCTATGATCTAAAGAAAACTAAGGTCATCCTCTTGCTGGTTTAATAACGTACAGCGTTTCATAAATTACGTTTCTTCGTTAAAACTTAAGACATTTTTTATTCGTTTAAAAGTCCTTATCACAATAAAGAAGGATATATCAATGAACAATATTGTTTTCAATAAATCCACTTCATGTTCTACAATTATATATCAAAGTCAATAATCCGAAAAGCGGCCAAGTTTATGAAAATCATTATGTCTAACAATTATGACTTTTAGCATGAAAAATTTGACACTGACGAAATGTTATTAAAAGGATTTGAAATAAAGTTATTTCCACAAGTCACTTCTGGCGATTATGGATTTCCCACAAACTTACCTGTTCATTAGGGTCATTAACTTATAACTGTAAAGTATTCTTCGTCTGTGTTTGACGAATATCCTACAGTCACTTTCATTTTTAATTGTTTCTAATATAATCTCGAATTTACCCTTTTGAATTGGCTTTCATGAAGTAGAATAACTCATAGTTGTAAGTTCTCTTTGGAACACATCATTTAAATAAACGTTCCAATATTAACAGACAGTCGATCTGTTCCCTGATAGCTGATTTGTGGAATATTTCAGAAAATGTTATCAACATCTTGAATCAAAATATTGTAGAACTGTTTGTATAATCACAAATATAAAAATCTTTGATGAAAAGATAGGTCATATCAATAAAGGTTGCTTGATTATTACTATAGAAACAAATACTCAGTTTAACAGAAAATAAATATTTCAAAAACATAAACATTTAGAAACCAAAATGAAGACACTTGATCAAATAAACTTACGTGGTCGACAGACGATTTCATTATTTTCTCTGATTGCCACAAAGTTTAGCCGACAAAAGCATTCATTTTTAATCCTATTACAAATACTGTTCCGTATATGAGATTCACAGTAATCATCTGAGTGAGTTTGGCAGTTGCCTAGAAATGAAAGATGATCACTTGTACAATAGGTAACGGTAAAAAGTATTATTATGTTGTAGTAGTAGTACAGAGACCTGTTTAAGACTGGCATAGATATTTTTTGATCGATTTACAGCTGTATCCTATGTTAGAAATATGAAGTACAGAACCGTGGAGAAGTGGTAAGCAGTATTTTTTTTGTTTTGTGGTATATGTATGTATACAGTGGCGAATTAAGTTTCGAATAGAACGACACTGAAATTTTTGCCCTTTTTATATTTAGAAAATAAAAAGCCCATATTGACATTCTAGTAAACTACAAACTTTATTTACTTACAAAAATAATTGCCTGAATATTTCAGCAATCATTTTTACTATCTTCCCCAATAGTTTAGCTAGTCCACCACCTATTATTTTATGCCTTGTAAGTCATACTTTAATATGCAACTATGTAATTGTGTATATGGTTGAATATAATATATAATTGGGTACTAATTACTCGAGGTTATCATCCATATCTGTAAGCTCAAAAGAGCGAATACTTTACGACTTTCTCTCTTTGTTTAGCAATCCGTTCTTTTGGTACTTCTCTCTGTTTGTTGCATGTGTATGCATAGGTTAAATAACTTTAATCATTATTACTACTATTAATTATGATTACAATAACTAACATTACTGGAACGGATAGTATTGATAGGTTTATTAACTTTTGTATTGCTTTTCTCATTCTTCAAAAAGAAACTGATTTTTCTTTTGAAATAAAGCATTATGCGTTTATGAGAACGAAAACAAAAAGTTCGATGACTACAAAACAACCTAGATGACATATCGCTTTTGATAATATTGAATAACGCAAAAGAAAACATTTCAGTGTCCTTTTAGAAGATATTCTTGTTTTATGAATATTGTTTGTTATACACTTCATGAACATACATCAATTCTCATTTTTCGCTGATAAATATTAAAACCTTGGTGGCTTTAAACTTTCCAGTGTATGTTGAAATTAACTAAACAAAAACTAGATAGGCGGTTCGCGGAAACTTGTTCAGTTTTCGTCGCTGAATTCAACCAGCTAGAGAATCAATAAAAAAAACCAAGTAGCACTGAAAAATTGATTTTTCTCAATTTAAACGACACAGCTACAATCTATTTCTCAGTTGTTTAATTTCAAAAGATTACGTTGATCTGAGTCGGGTTTAACCTAACCAGAAAATCAGATGTAAACAACATACATCTAACAAGGGCTAGAAAATTGATATACATCCTATATTAAGTTATAAATGGTCAATTAACATTTAAAATCTCTATGTAAACTAACGTCGTGAATTACCATATTTTTCATAGACAAAAATGCTATGATATCTAATTTATAAAAGATTACAATAAGCTGTTAAGTATATCCTGTTTAGATACTCATTAAGTATGAACTTCTAGAGATCTATTTTCCCATCCTTTAAACTCGAAATCGGATTAGCTATTATTCAATTATGGGAGTCACGAGATGTCAGCACATACCGGACCAACATAGTAAAATTCCTATTCCTTTATATGATTGTAAAAAGTGTTAATAGTAAGAAAGTAGAAATGTGGTTTTAAAATAGTGTTTACCAAAAGTTATCCATATTAAAAAAAGTTGTCAGTTATTTCGCTAGTCGACTAAGATTAAAACGCAAACTACTAAACTCAGGGTTAATCAGTCATTATATGGGGCCTGAAGGAAGCTAGACTCATCTTTAAAGATGCTTGAAATTTTTTGTAACGATCCTAGACTTTGGATCATGATTTTCTCATGGACATATAATTGATAAAAAAAGTTACGAAAAACATATATACTGATCTGAGTAAAGATCTCGCAAAACTTGCCTATATCAAGGTTTTGTTGTTTCTGAATTAAATGAACTTGCTGGATTATAGTATTCTCATCATTATCAGTAATCCATGAAGTAGCGGGTATAATCAAAGCTGAATGTTCATTATTGAACTTCAGAACGATGATACAAAGAAGTAAAACATATACGTATACCAATTCCAAAGTTAACATTTTAACAGTTAACGTAAATATTCATAGAAGAAAATTTTCATTTGCAGATAATTGGGATAATTAAAAAAAGATAAAATTCTGTTTGGTGTATACAGTGATAAACAGATTGGACAAAAATGAGAAGTATGCATTCTGCGTTTAAGCTTTTATACAAAACAAATAATGAATTATAATGGTAAGTCCCAATTAAACTAATAAAATGTGTTTAAAAGAAATGGTAGATGAAACAGAAAAAAACTGAATTATTAACCTAGTATGAACTTGCCAACAACCAGGACATTTATCGGTAATCCACCATATGTTGTATACATGATACATTTTCTCAACACGTAATTTATGACGAATATATCAGCGTTATCTATACTTACATAGATATGCCTAATACAAAAACATATCAAAATGAAATCGTTATGGATACGTGAGTTAAATAGGGGGGGGGGTTGTGACCTGTTCTTTCCCTACAACAATATAAAATTGTTTTGTAAGACAATATAAAAAGTTAATAATATCACCTCATACATTCCATAACAGAGTTTATCTATTTGTTTGTTATTCCGCAATGATTGACTGATGATAAAAGTTTAGGCATTGTGCCCATATTTGTCGGGTAAAAGTTTAGATGTTTATCAGAAAAATACATTATCTCCAAATAAATGATGGAATGGAGATGTGTTCAATGCCTGAATTCTAGTTATAACTCTAAATATTCATTAAAATTTTGAACCGATCTAAGTTTGACCATCACTGAAAACCTAAAAGCATTGGATGGCCATTTCATACTGATACAGGACTCCTCAATAGCGCCAATCCACGATCTTGAACGTGGGAATCGAACATTTCTGGTTGGCGTTTTTTTTAGCGAGTTAGTTTCCTACTGGATGGGGTCGCTAACCCCATGCCCAACCCTCCTCCTTTACCCGGGCTTGGGACCGGCAGTAACTCTAGAAGAGCTACAGGCGGAGTTGGGAGTCGAACATAGGACCTTTGATCTCGCTCCCGAACACTTGACCTCTAGACCATTGAGCTAGCATCTAACGGCATTGATGTATAACCTCAATCAGTTCATGACATTGCGTGACCATCTCTCATCGTCTTCAGTGGGTAACTACCTCACACCCGACACGGTTTATCTCTAAACATTAACTTATTAATAGTCAGATTACTTCAACTAGTTCAATGTAGCAAATTAATTTCTTGGTAAATGAGTTTATCGTTGGAAACACAAGAGAACTTTGCTCATAAAATAATCATATGCCGAAACTTTCAAGCTGATGGCTAAACTGGTTACAATTAAGCTACCAAACTAAAACTCTAATAGCTGCTATTTTTATATTCCATATCTGGGCTGTATCACGCGGTCAAATCTCTATGCGATAAGTTTCTTCTTATCCCTAACTCAATCCAGTTTGATTAATGGTAAGAGCTGGTTGACTGATTTATTAAATAACTTGTGAACAATTAAGTCTCTTTCATTTATGCGGCAGTTGCGGATAGCACTTAGCAACTAAATTGCAACCAGGGCGTGGATATCAGCTTCTTTTCATTGCTCAGTTGGCAGATTACTGGTTGTGTAACGTAAACTTACCATCCTTTAACACTTCACTCGTCCATGTTTACGTTTATTTTCAATCAACCTGCTTCGGTTTGAGCACCTGGGCAGTATCACAGCCCTCACACATATCGAATGAGATTTGTGTGGCGCATATGTATTTGGTGCCCCCTTGTACCAATATCTATGTGTTAAAATAAATAATAAATACAGAAATTATTTGGACATCTTTCTGGTCGCTTTATCTGTACATGCATTGATTTACAAACACTACGGGAAATCCATAGTTCCATTAACAGTAATGTCTAATTCACATAACACTTTATCAATTACTGGATTGTAAAGTTGGCTGCACTTTTAATAGTGGCTTAAGTGAAATCGGTGAATTCTGTTACATTCCACGAGTGATTCGTTGGCTGATTATACGTGGATCATAGTGCGAATGTTGATTTCCAAACTGGAACCACAATGTTCATCGTTCTAAACATTAATATGTTATTTGTAAGGCTAATGAGTCACTAAAAACACCGACTTGCTAAACGCGTATGTTATTTCCTACAAATCGTAAGCGTATTCAGGAATATGATCTGTTTCGGTTTGGATATGAAATCTTTAAAATTATTCTATGAAATAACAAAGCATGCTTGTTTGATGACATTGTTAATTGCTATTTAAAATACAATCGACTTGTTAAAAGACCCCATATTACCAACAAAGAATTACGAAATCCAGTCATAAACATCAAAAACTAATAATACAAATCTTCCAAACAAATAATATTGAATTTTCAACCTTTGTTGTGATATCCGAAAACTGCTTACAAGAAACAATGCTTAAAGTCAGATGATCGATTTGAATTACTCTTTCAGTTTATTTGACAGACGAATGAGTTCGGGAAAGACCAACAATATTCGAATAGGGTGAAATACAAGAATTAAGGCAGAATAATTTGAATTCATAATATTTCGTGGTCTCTGTTCAGCTGCATGCAATATTCAACATCGGTATCTAACAATATTTACTCTCGACATACAAGTGAAACTTTACTGTGACATATTTCACAGAAACTGTGCAACGATCTTATTCGGAGATTATCCTTTATACTTTATGGAGTTACTCTTCATAGTAAAATGAAGTTTGTTAAAATGGAATATCTTTTAAGAACTTATTACGCACTGAGCTTCGATGATGCTATTTATCATGCGATTAAGCTTCTTTAAATAAAATGTCTATATACAAAGAATTTATCTCCATGAGAAGGTTACTCCCTCTAATCTTTTTGTGTAGACATAAACAACTCAGATTTCAACGTTTAAATTAAGCATATTTGATAGCCCTGTGAACTCTGATTTTAACTCGATAGTGAATGGAACATCATAAAATGTGACGAATATTTCTAAGAAAATCGAAAAATTGCCGATTCGGTGAGGTAGTTATTATATGTTTGGATGGTACTTGTAGACAAACGTTTAGGTTAGCAATTCTTAACTATTGAAAGTAGCTTTGGTGAAATTTTAGTGACCGAAATCGACCATCTGTTTGTAAATAAATCTGTTAACCGATTTGTAAAATCATGCTGATACCTGGGTAAGTAATCCTTTGCAGTAAGCTTGACAGAAGTAAATATTAATTAAGTCACCATAATTAGCTTAAAAGTATTAAACTTGGAGACATATTTAATAGCTCCAAGTCTATCATAAAAGACGATTTGCTACATTGTCAAAGACAGCTATTTTTATGAATGTCAGTCCAAAAGATAAATGTACTAGCAGGAATTATAAAGAAGCTGGAATCTTCATTTTTGATAAATAACTGCTTTTTTGTTGAGCACTTTATGATTTAAACATAGCGACAAATGATTTTTCAGACAGTCTTGTGTTTTAGTCAACCATAACGCCCATCTACAAGTTTACTTGTTGCCGTGCACATTAGTTACTCAGGTAGTACACAGAATGTATTTCGTAGTTTCTGCACTATCTTATTTTAATATCATTTAAAGATTGTAACTTAACTAACAGAAAAGCACGTGAAATGGCTTTTAATTTGTATTAATTAAGGCATTTAATTGGATTCTTGTTTATTAATTTTTTTAATACAGTTGCCCAATTAGGCATCTGCCAAATGATAAGCTTAAGCGACTGCCAAAGATATGGCTTCCTTTTCTAAGAAATGAAGTACTCCATGGATGGGAATGATGGCCTCCTTTTCACTAATCTATTCGCTTGGATTCATGTATAGAAAGCTTGTTTCACAATCGGATACAGCACAAAACAACAATTTCTCTCAAATCAAATGTATTAAAACGATGAAAGGATATATTTATTTCGCCTTGGAAAACTTGTCCTACATAGCAATAACTGTTGCAATTCATTTCTGGAAACAGTAGTTAGTAACTAGTTTTCCTGATAAAAAATACCCAATATTTATTTTTGGAACTTCGAGATCTACGACTCCAAACAAATTAACCTGTATCGTTTTATTTTCTTCTTACAGTTACTACTTCTTCGTCACAAATAATCGATTACTACGTCCTCAAGATCTGAATTATTTGCATTTGGCTTCCTAAATATTTCGTCCCCTGCTTCAAACTTAATAACGGTTATTTAACAGAGTGCTCATTTCCTAATTTGAAAACATGTAACTATTAATTCTTTTTGATAACCATCATAGTTATTCTCCTCTCACTATATTTAAATTTGTAAAAAGCCAAATATTTAATCCATTGCAATACTTATTCTTACAGATACATAGAGATGAATTAAAAGAGGAAAATCCTCTATTATTTGTGAGATGATTCTTGAAAAGCCTGTAATTGATTACAAACTGCGGGAAAAAATGTTAATCACAATCTCTGTTTCCTGAGCTCTTCAACACCAAACATATACAATTTATTGAATCTTCAGAAATTGACGATTTTAGAATCTATCTATTCCTATATTCTGAAAAAGGGAACTTTAAAAAACACTCAAAAATTCATGTCAGTCGACACTAGAAACTAGACATATTATTACTAGGCATATTATTATTAAGTAATTAGTAGTTTCACTGAGACCTGTCTCAATTTATTCAATCCAAGGAAATTCATTAGTCAATCCATAATAAATTTTAACTGAACTTTGTTGGGATGTAAGTTGATTGCAGGCAGTCGACAGGAAACCTTATACCCAGGTTTCGTCCAAGTCGACACTCGTTAGCTAGGCGTACCTATAGCGTCTAGGGAACTGATGATCCTTAATGGACTCAATCTCGTTTCACTCGGCTTCAGAGTCTGAATAGTTACCATTCAAATGTTTGGACAGAGATATTTACAATTGTTTCATCACTGAGCAGTGATAAAACCAGGTCTGTTTGGCCATTCATAGCCCGAATATTTCAGTGGTAACTACGCAAACTCTGAGGTTAAGTGAAACGGGATTGAATTCATTAAAGATCACCAGTTTTCTCAGCATTATAGGTACGTCATGTTAACAAGTGCCAACTAGCACGAAACCTGGGTCTAGAGTCCCCTGTTGACTACCTACAACCACTTAATATCCCAAGTTCGCGCGATGTTAAGTCATTTAGACCAGTGAATATATTGCAACTTGATTGGTCGGATTCGGTCAGCACTAATAAAAGGGCTAGACAAATATGACAGTGGTTACTACTCGGTGGTCAATCACTTGTTCAACCTAACTAGTAATGTAACAATAAAGACTCTCTATCTAGCCCCCAACAAATGAGAAAACTAACGAAAGCAGAATTTTCGTTACTACTTTACTCCAGAACGAACGATGGATATGTGCATATACATACAGAACTTCTCGGGGTCCGCTTGAAAATCAGCCAATGAAGGAGAACTGTGGTATCAAACTCAATTGCGCCCCCCCTCTAGAAAATCTCACTCCTTTCAATAAACAACTTACTATTGATTACAAAGGTATTATTACTCGTGAAATGCAAGAATAGATTTCACTGAAAACTGCTTTAAATAAAATATAAACAAATTTATGATTACTATTATTTTACAAACTGTATTTTATAGAGGAAAAATCTGGTAGCACTGAAATTCTGTGTATACGATTAAAGTTTTGTGCTAAAAATGAGTTTTCCGAAAATAACGGATACTCCACAATGATGACTTCCGATTGTTATGAAAATAGGGGTCACAAAACTAATCCTTAGTTAACAAACAAATATCCTTCATCGGCACCAGTATCAGCATAGAAAACATTATCCGTATGCATTAAAAACTGTAGAAAAAAATAAAAAACAATAATAAAACATAATTGTTGCACTGAAGAAATACTTGTGTTATTTTTCCAAAACGAAACACAGGTACTGTATAATGTTCAAGGAACAAAATTAAATCATTAGGTATGCTTTAAATGACATTCACTTATGGTTATGAGTCTATAAAGGCCGGTTCTATGTCCACCACACGTAGGTTATTCTGGCCTCTGGACAGATCAATCTATGCGTTCTTCTCTAGCCACATTTTTACCCTATCACTTACTGGCTTATCAACCTTGGTTGTTTTTATGTAAGCGTATGTGTGCACATATCTGTAACTTATTTTCGTCTGACTATAAATATTGATTTACGCTCGGTTACGTCGAGTTGGCTCACACGCCTCCTCCATTGTGTGTCATCTAGTTTCGCTTCTCTCTCTTCTCTTCATCTCCTTCGCCCCGTCTCTGATTGTCTGTTCTGATCAACGATTGTACAAAATATACGTATTCGAAACTGCATTCTCGTATTTGACTTATTTAATTCTGTTATTCATTAACGCGAGTTAAGTCGATAATTAATATACGAGGACTGACGATGCGTATAAATCGATAACGATAGTCCCACGCTTTAAATGGATTCATATAAAGGGCTACTAAGAGTCGCTGAAATTGTGCATTCGCAACAAACAGAGATTATTGCAAATGCTTGAGTCAAATCTAGTTAGTGGAAGCAAATAGGATATGAACAACAATAATAAGTTTTATCATTTTAGGGGTTGTGGAGATTGTTAAGTTTTTGATTGAGATCATGAACCGACTGATGTTAGACCACCATTGAAAACCTGGAAGCACTGGACGGCCGTTTCGTCCTACTGTGGGACTCCTCAGCAGTTCGCATCCACGATCCCCCCGCGGGACTCGAACCCAGGGCCTTCAGTCTCGCGCACGAACGCTTAACTTACTGGACCACTGAGCCGGCATCCAGTGGTGTTAATGTATAACCTCAACCGATCCACGAGATTGCGCGACCATCTTCCATTGTACTGAGGTAGACACCTGTTTCTACCCGACACATATTAGCTCCATCAATCGGTCCATGATCTCAATCAAAGTAATAAGTTTATACTTTCATTTACAAATTGTATTCACCGTGCATAACCTCTCGGAACGAAAGGATCAAAGAGAGAGAAATCCAAATAATATTTTTCAAAACGGACAGCCAGAGATATATACAATCTCGATTTTTAACTTAATAAAATATCCATTCATCAATTTACCACTGGACTGGATAGACACAATTTGCCATAAAGAAAACGTTACAACATTAATCATCTTAAGAGTGACTGCATCTATTTATTAACATGGTTTATATAAAATTGTAAACAGTGAAAATCAAAGCTGTTAAGTGTTCAACTTTAGGAACTGTGAGTTAGACACAACTGAAGACACATAGTAAACAAACATATGTATAAGTACAGCAACGATTTCAAGTATGATAAGACTTTGAAGTACAGAAGGGTTGGCTTTATTTCTGTACAGGAAATAAATTATCAGATATCTCAACATTTAAAATCTCAGAATTTACCATATTTAAAATTTGCCATAAAAATATACCTGGCTTAGTTTCTTGATGAGTTTCTATGAGATCAATATCTTCAAGGTCATTATCAATGTGATATTTCAACATTTCTAATCCCTCTGTAAAAAACTGATGAAAATGAATTTATTTAGTGCTGAACTTTTAAGTTGTGTTTATCTAGCTACATGAATTGAATAAAACTAGGTACTGTTTTATCCTATAAATTTATATTTTTCAAAAACTGATTTTCATCGAACCTTGGGATCCGTAAATTTTGAATTTAGAATAGTACTAAAACGAGCCAAACTGATAAGTGTTTTGATACAACAATATGATTTACAAATCACATTGACATTAATTTAATCAAAAACGAAAGATCAATGCATGTTTTTTAAACATAAAATAACTGGCCAACCAGATGTAAGTTCATACACCAGCTCAAGAGAGTTATAGTTAAAAACTTGTTAATATAACGTCGGAAGATCAAACGTCTGGAGGTCCTGGGGGGGGGGCGAGAAGCATCATTATAGGGAATAGATCTCCATGGGAACCCTGGACAAGATTCAAGGAAGAACACGAAGACAGAAATTAACAACAGTCGAACAAGAACAGAGAAAGTTAAGGCATAAGCTCAATACACAGAAACAAGCAAGGAAGTGATGGGGAGCATTAGAGCTGACAAGCAGAGATACGTGGAAGAGCTGGCAACGACAGCGGAAAAAGCTGCAAGAAAAGGAAATATGAAACAACTATCTGACGCGACGAAGAAACTAGCATGGAAATATGGTAAACCAGATAGACTAGTGATGGACAAAGAATTCAATCCAATCACTGAGATTGCAGAACACCGTAACATGTAGGTATAACACAATGAAAGGCCCTTCAATAGACCAGTCCCACTGAACCCACAAAACATCGTGGCAACACACACAAACATTCCAATGGATATCACTCCACCAACGATAGACGAAATCAGGATGACCATCAGACAAATCAAGAAATGGAAATCACCAGAACCGGGAAATATACCAGCTGAAGCAATGAAGTCGGACATAGAAGTAACTGCAAGTATGCTCCGCGTTCTATTCAGGAAGATTTGGGACGAGGAACAAGTACTGACAGACTAGATAGAAGTATGCCTCATCAAGATGCCAAAGAAAGGAGATGTGAGCATCAGCCTCAGGAATAGAAAATGTTTATCGTGATGGTTTACCAAATCTCAATCCGCTGTCAAAAATAATTTCAAAGTGAGCTATATTTGGCAAATCGCCTAAATCGTTAAAATCTCTCTACTCATTAGTGATGAATCACACAACAACGACAAAATCTGACAACTCCAGTTAGCCATGCCAACCTGAACCATCTCACTGGTTAAAATTCCAAAGTCAAACAAGATTTACTATGTAGATAGACACGTTGTTTTACATAAATGAATTGTCTTAAAATGAAAATCTAAGACACCCATTAATTCATCATCAATAAAAAGTCAAGTTATTAGGCTAACTATTAATCCTGATAAACTGTTGACGGGTAAAGTAAATTAAGAAAATTATCCAGTAATCGATGCTTTCGGAAGTTCATCAATTATTTTCGGTTCAGAATACAACTAATTATTTTCAAATAAATAAAAAAGTGAAACAGTCATATTTTATTTTCACTTTCGTAAACTTAAAGCAGTGATGTAAAGTAGTTGATAAAACACTTTACATTAAACTGGTAGCGAATATCTCAGCGTGTTATGTGAATTTCTGTAGTATGTTTTGGACCAAAATTTTTCAAATGTGCGTAGATGATGGAGGGAGGGTAATACTATTCCACATAAGATGAAATTTTACAGCTTGAGTCAGTGAGCTGTAGCTATTGTTGGAAAAACTAGTAAGAAAAATATACATTTTCTTGCTCGTCTAGTGTCATTCAAAGTTTAATAAATAAATCTATTGAATGTACTCACTATATCCTCACTTATCATGTCGTGATACGTAGCCAAGGGCAAACATTCACCAACTCTATTGGTAGCTTCATCAACTGAACAAATTCGGTTTAACAATACGTCACAAACTAAAGCTAATTGACAAACAAAACAAATAGTAAACTAATGATGCATTCTACATTTAAACACACCAGTGTTCCAAATGTTTCACTTTCATTTTTTGGCAGCAAATTCAAACAAACATCATTCGTAGTCTCGTAGAATACACTTGAAGAATCAAATTTACGATGTTGGAAAGTATGCATGTGGAACACATAATAAAGCTATCCAGAATTATTTCATGTAAAATTAAGTGTAAAAGTCACTGTCTCGTAGAATGACTGAAATTATAATCTCTGCGACAATGTTTTCTTACATTAAACAGTTGATTAGGCAAGGATTTACGAAGACCTCTATTCCCAGAATATAAGGTTTGTTATCTTAAATGTTGTCCATCATTTTGACACGTGACCAAATTAAATTAATAGCGAGAAAATTTTTCTAGCTGCGTTCTCCCTAATAAATTTAAAAGCGGTTTCCTAGACAACCTATTAATCTCAATTAGGGTCACAAAAGCGACATTTAAGAAAATTATGTAATTGAATTGAGGAGACGCTTTCATGAAAACTGTTTATATTTGTTTAAGAAAACCATTACTTAAGAAACAAAGTTAGACTTGCTCAAATTCTTACCCGATAAATACGAAATTCCATCTGACTAGTATTAATGTCAGCCTGATAAATATCTCTATCTTGTGCCAGTTATAAACTAATTCCCGTTACATATCCTCCGAACAGTTTTAAAGGTTAGTGAGAAGAATATTGAGTGTGGTAGGCCCCTAAATAGCATTCATATGGCCCATCTAGACAAAAGATGCCAGTAATTTAAGACACATTCACTGGTTGAAAATCATCTACACGGAATCTACGGTCTACGGAATTTATTTCATTAATATGGATTTTTAAGCAACTTAGAATATTCTTGTGAAAACATTCATTGTGAAATAATCATTAAATGTTCTAAGCTTGAGAGATATAGGCTCAACTCGCAGTGTAATATTAAAATAAAATGATGTCCATAAAATATAATAACTATATGTAATTACAAATATCTCAATTGATTGTAACGCTGACATGAACTTAAGCTAGCAAAATTTATTCAAAGTCATTCACAATCATAAACGATAAAACCACAACCTCGAATTATACTTAACTTTTTAATAGTTTCTCTTCAATCGAATTGTTTGTATATGTACCAGTAATTGGACCAGGCATTGAAAGTGATAATAATGAGTCAAAAGCCATTGAAACGAGTACATCACCAGGCTTTTTTCTTGCTACCTTATCGATCTGTAATAAGTTTTTACCAGTATTTACGTGATAATATCAATTTATCAATTAATATAGTTAAAAAATCATTGCGTCACACATCATACAATTGTCATGATTTACATGGTTTTATTTTTTTAATTTTACATAATTATCCGAAGGAAAAACTGGCGGTACATAATCTATTTAAGGAAACAAAGTCCATTCATACCTATGTAAAATTTTAACGCATTCCAACAACAATGGTGGGATGGATATAGTGCTTGTAATGTTTTCATTATGGAACCTACCTGAGAGCCGATAAACGCTGTAGACTAGGTTGTGTACAAATTTTGGTTGGAGTTAAGTAAGTTAATGATTAAAATAATGAAGTTATAGTTTAGTCATTGGTTTTGTCATAAATGACATACAAAAAATATGTCTTACTTGACACAACTAATAAAGAGTTAAATATCTAAACGCCATTAGTAATTCACAATTTACAAGCAAAAACAAAACCTCTTTAATGTAGTTAACAATATATAAATGTTTTAAATCAAAGGTATATCTTAGATTGATCAAGGGTTCTAAATGGGGGAAACGAGATTTTCAACAAACATGTATATTATGGCAACACAATACTTATTTGGAGAATTTCAAGTCTTCATGCTTGATACCATAATAATGTACCCCGTTAATGATCAACAGTGTTATTAAGGAACTCATAAATATTTAGTAAATACATTTACTATCGCCAAATGTCATATATATTTAGATTAATTCATATTCTTATACTACGTGTTTTTCCTTGCTTATTGATCGAAAAACAGCTGAAGTAAAAAAAAATCCAGTCGAACACATACAAAATTTCTAGATTGACATCATGAATGGATCAATGATGGTCTATCATTAATCCATTCATGACATCGAATTAAACTCAACAATCTCCACAACCCTATACTGATAAATACCAAATTGTTTGGAAATATTTCTAAAGGAAAATGTAGGTTTATTGGATCACTTTAACGATTTCTTTTAATTAGGGGGATCCTACCTTCATCTGGATTTCATATGTTGCTAGCAGGATAAAGATTAGATTAAAACATGTTCCATGCAGGATTGTGTTAGGGCAAGCTGATTGGCTATTTCTTAATCAATTAACACTGGATGATGCTTTTAGAAGACTCTAGAATCTCCTTACGTAAAAATTATAAATATACTAACGTTTTTTTTTTATTGTGATCCCTACGTCCATCCAACCTTGTCATCTTGGAATATAAAAGATAGCGTAACAGTGGCGACGAAGGAAAAGAGAAAACCATAACCATAATAGTACACAAAACGACATGTTTATTTATTTACTGAAATCCAATGAAAAGTGTCAGTGGACGTCAATGACAGATATAACTGATCTGTACTACCTGTTGTGACTCCTACATTATTTTTGGTGTTTGAATAAATTGAATTGAGATTAAATAAGAAGAATCATAGGAAAGCATATAAACTAAGACGGTAATACTAGTATAGAATTCTCGGCATTCAATCGTTTTATAATACAACCAAGCAAACATACTATTTTTCTTTTAAAAACAATGAAATTTTATTTGACTACTGAATTACCATTTTTAGCCGATTCATCCGCAAGATTTTATACTGAAGATTATATTCATTGGTAGTCAACTCTTTGATAGTATCGCTTATTGTTTGTTCAAAAATAATGGTAAAAACGAATTCTTCTCCCATTGTAAACCTAATCTGTAACATAAAAATATTCATCGGAATCTTATCTAAAGTAAAATGGGATAAGGGATTTAAACTAAGGCATGACAGGGCTTACCAACTATAGTGATGCTATCGAGATTAGTCCAACGGAAAACTGGCATGGTTTTTAGTTGAAACGACAATGTAGTTGATTTCCTCTTTCCGAAGTGTTTCAAAGTATAGTACTTTAATGTATTTCTTTCACTCCCTATCTCATTATAATGTAAACTAATAATTTACCCTTATAAAAGATATGTTAAATAAAAGTGTCTTTCAAATTCTGGAGAACTCAGGTCTTCCTTGTTGTTAGTTCTCTGCTAACTAATGATCACTATGCGCTACATCTGTGACTATAATAACCCACACAACGCAGGCGCCAGTTTGCGAAATAACCGTCTGAAAGGGCTATTATTACTTCGAATTTTCAACACCTGATTGAGTTTCAACAATTAAGTATAAAGTCAAAGGGAAGACATAGCTATGGGACCCCGTTAGAACTACTATTACCACAGTGTTTCACGTCTATGCTTGAAGACAAACAACTTAGTTTGGTCATCAAACAATTTAGATTTTACGAAAAGACATATGGATAACACGCTCGCCATTTGCGATGAAAATGTTCACTTAAATCCCATTCTATGTTCTTTCCATATCTACCTACCTGACCAAAATTCCAATATACTTAAAAATCATTGAGAGGAAGATCAATGCAACAAATCTGCCACTAAAGTTAAGAACTGAAATCTGCTTTCCATATCTGTGAAGGATAGGCTCTCTAGTCTAGTCATCTCTCAATCCACCTAATAGCCTACCTACTCCTGTGAACTGAGACACATAGGGCGTATCTAGTGATCGCTTTAACACGGATACGAGAACATTTCCCAGTAGAGTGAAAGAGGCTGTTAGGAATTCCATCACGAAACATTTACTCAGCTCTAATCACTCAACTAATTCACATGTTGACTTTAAAGATATTTATAGAATACGACAAAATACACCAAGATTTCTTCCCATTCAACTCTTCAAAATAGCAGAGGCTCTTCCTAGCCGTGAAATGACACCTTGTCTACGTGCTCAAAAAATATTCGCTTATCATTATCTTTACGATGGCCTCAGTATACCATTATTTTATTTCCATTTCTTCGAGTGAACATTTGAAAATAAGCAATAAAACAGTGACAACCATAACACCGACAGTAACACGTAGCTCAAACAAGATAATCGAATGTTGGAAAACACAGGAAATAAAAATTGTAGGTCGATAGCACATACGTAGGTTTGAAAAATGGTGAATGACTTTAATTAACATCGTTTGGTTTTCAGCTTCTGTAATTCTGCAAAATATACAAAGGACGTCTACAGTTGATAGAAAATATTTGTAGCTCAATATGAGGATTTCGCAATTGCTGTGGTTTAGTTGTTTAGTTTTCATTGTTCTTCAGAACAACATCATTACTCACTTCAGAGAGAAATGAGCTACTAGAATTTCCCCGCAAATGACTGACAGCTTATTGTGTTGATCTGGAATTTGGTTGATTGTCATCCAAAACCGTGTGGTCGTTGTTTTTTGTTATTTTCTCTCCCGACCTACACCCTAGCCTCGCATTTTTTAAATGCATTTTCTTACTGATTGACAGGTATAGTTGCTTCCGATGTGCCTATTAACTGACGCCCAATTAGAATCCCAGACGTCTAAAAACCCTTGCTTGTTGTGTGTTTTATTTGTTTAATATTTCAGCGTTTCCAACTCAAAACCACGGTTGTCCACATGTGTTGATATATGCGAAGCTGTGTTATGTCGTCTAACAACTAACTGTTGTGCATGTAAACGTAAACGATGAGGTCAGGACTCAGGTCGAGAGAGAAAACAACCAGAACAAATGTAAAAACAACGACCAAATGGTTTTGGATGACCATCAACCGAATTCCAGGTCAACGCAATAAGCTGTTAGTCATTTTCGAAGAAGTTCTAGTAGCTCACTTCTCTTTGAAGTGAATAATGACTATGTTGTTCAGACGAACAATAAAGGCTAAACAACCAAACAATCCAACTCAGAGACCACAACACTTCTAACAAAGTCTACGGCCTTTTTTTACATGATCCTAATAATCACGGATCGATGTCGTGGTCTGACCTTTTACTTCTATAAGGATAGGACATTGTAACAGACTATTTAAATACATATGATACATATCGTTGTAACACCGACTAAATATATACGTACACGTTCATTAGATGAGTCGCTTTGATTATTTATTGTTTTCTTCCTGATGTATTTAACACTTTTGATCTAATCGAATGAAATTACTAGAATTATCTGTTGTAACTGAGGTCATTTTATAAATGTGGTTACTTCGCCATCACTATTGACTCAATTAAACTGATAGGTTATGCAGAAATCAAGTTAAATACCAGAAGAAAAATACAATTAACTTACAATTCTTGGTACCGTAAACTTTATTAGTCCTAGTAAAATACTCTCAAGAATGTCAAATGCTAAGGCATTTTTAACAGCTCTATCTGCCGAAATCGCACACCAAATCTTTCCCCGGTTATTTAATTTTTCACCAAACTTTTGTACAATTGGTTGGTGTAAATCACTTGTTTGACTGAATTCTTCAGGTTGAATAACTTTACTTAATTCAGACATGATTACTTTGGGTGTAATACGTTGAGTGGTACCATTTTTTGATTCCTGTGTTTTGTTTAAAGACATGGAAGAATAATATAAACAGTATCCATCCTTTTTTCAAAATAAGATTTTCAGGGATAATTTCTCACTAATAATTCCCTTATACTTATCATCTATCTGTCGCAAAGTAAACCAATGAACTCTAATAAACAAGAGACTCCATCTAGTCTATCACACATTTAAAGATATTCAGTGGTATATATCTATAAGTATACATATTTACATTTATGCTTTATTGCAAAACTATTGTTAATAGACGAATTAATTAAGTATCATTGACTCCTCACACTGAAACGTTAAAAGTCAGGAATTTTAGTTCACGCTGAACAAAGATAAAACGTTTGAGTTACGACTAATGACATTCAGAAGGATATTTCATGCACTGATAGATTATATGCATATACACTACTAGTGAGACGAGTTGAATTCGGTTTGAAAATTGACAAAGAAAGACTTATAGAACTTTAGAAGTAACAAACAACTATAGCTTTAAATTAATCTCGTTTGTTTGAATCTTCCCACTGATTTTTAGGACTGCAATTGATCAGTCTCTTATTGGCGTATGTTCATCTCGGAGTAAACACCAACTCTGGGATGTAAGTAAATCCAGCTGACGAGTCCGAAGTAGAACGAAACGCGCGTCCTAAGTCCCACTGCCAGTCAATATCCATCTTTGCTAACTATAGCTTCGTTATAATAATTTTGGTAATGCTGTTCTATAACTATTTTAATAATTAAACTGATTTCAAAGATTTTTCAGCTATTCTGTTCTATTTATTTGTCTACGAAAATGTGGACCGTAGACTACTCATCGGTACTTTTGTTGTTCTACCTTCTTTAAACATAATTTAGCATTGTGCCAGGAACTATATATTATTTTACACATCAAATATGAGATAACAGCTAGCGATTAGGTTTAGTCCAGCAGATAGTTCATTAATTAAGAAATAACATTTCGCCTAATCCTTTAGGCATTTTTTGCGTATTTGTGGAATTCAAACATTGTTTTAAATATTTTTTCAACATAATTAAGACAATCAAATATGTATTTGGTCCATTAAAATAGTTCAGCTATTACTTCTTTAAAAGCGATAGCATCTAAATTTGAAAGATTAGAATTAATATCTTGATAAATTTCCTTTATAGAATCCAGAAGTAGTTGCGGAACTAATTCAGCTTTCACAGTATCACTGATAAGTTCAAATCCGTATTGTAAAATTGCATTTTTTCCCGAATCGGTATTCCATTGTTCTAAACCCTTCGAAATTTCAGGACCTGTAAAAAGCAACTCAGTGACATAACACTAAAAATCCCTAGATTTACCTGTTGTCATGTAGGGTTCTTTAGTACTGATTATCAACCTAATTTGAAGTGTTTGCAGTTTGTGAGAGTAATATGATGTTTATATATTCCTATTCGGTGAATGAAGTGTCCAGGATTATTCTAAAAGTTTTGAAGTATGAATGAGGAATAATTTCTAAAATAGTACATGAATATCCTACCGATAAGAAAATACTTATTTAAATGTATTATATCTTTGGAAATCTCCTTAAATATGTTACGTTCAACCAAGATAAGTAAGATAGCACATCTAAAATACCGTGTCCATATACGCGTTTTCAATTTTCAGTGTAATTTGAAAACTTAACATGTTAACAAATGCCCACTTAAAGCTACGCACAAGCCAAAAGAAACGTCTACAGAAATAAATTCAGCTTGTATGGAGCTCAGTGTCAACGGGGTAGACATTGTATTCAGGTTCGTTCTCAAAATCCCACACCACCACTGAATACGTCGCTCTTTTACGAAAGTATGATTTTCTAGTTACCAAACGGTCGCATCTTTTTTTCCATCAGCAAAACCATTCACCAGACGACACAAGTTAACATTCTCACCCACCAAATGATAATAGAAATTAGACCACATATTGAAATCGAGATTTCAAATTCTGAAGCGAAGATATTACTGTTTATTTGTGTCTAATGCGTCTTAATAGTAACCTCAAGGTTACGGTGTTTTCAAAAATTTCCAGTCTGGTAGTTTTTTTACGCTCACCTCGTTTGCTTTTATCAAAACATTCGTACTTTTCGTAAAATTGATTATGTTTAATTTTAGAGTTTAGATCAATCATTTTTTCATAAGTTTATTACAAATTGTATGTTAATTTAGTCTCACCACAAAGAACCCTAGAATCACTTGAGTTTGTCTAATTATTAAGTTGCACTGCAAATAAGATCAGACAGTTGTTTGGTAAAATTTGCAAAGTTTACCATGAACTACATCTACTTCAGATTAATGAATGGCAATATTTAGTTTACCCTAATGAACTTAACGTTAAATCAGAAAACACAATTATTTAACACTATGTAGTCATGCATCACAGGTTTATTAATATTATATTAAAGTCGGAGTTTCAACAGTAACATGTTTACCAAATAAAATTTTCGTTAAACACAGAGATGAGCAATATTGTTTTCAATTATATCTTCATCAAGCTCTATTTCCATTTACGGCAAAATTTATACACCCATACGAAGAATAGATCAGTCAAGAAAATTCATGTTAGAGACGATAACGAGGTGGATTACACAACTGCTCATAATTAAAAAAAGTGAAATTGATGATAGAATTGTAAGTACACTAGCAATGGTAAAGATTAACCGAAGTAGCATAAATGAATACCCCAGCCTGATAAAATAAACTCATCAAAAGGATTGTCACGAAAATTATGTAATCAAAAGTGAGTAATCAGCCTAATTAAATAATTAATAAGTAAGAGATACAAAATCATGAGGAAATTGAAGCAAAATGTATGTAGAATTATTATAATCCTCTATTAAGTTTCCTACAACCAAGGAAGGAACATGAGTACTATAAATATTTAATAAATGATGGAATGGAGTTACTAGCTCACATTTCCATAGTTTCTGACTAGTGTAAAAATGGGATTAAAACACACTGAGAGAATGCGAAGGTATATGATGGGTCGCTTAATATGATTGGGTCTTATATGTCACATTAAAATGATGATCAAGTATGGTTAAACAGAACTTTCCATTGACGGTTTCGTCCATTTCCAACTGAAAACAATATTTCCCGCTTGTATTAATTGTTTTGATCTACACAATCAGAGTTTTTAGTTTAGTTTTAAACACAAAAATTTATTTATTCGGAAGTGCTCTCAGATTGAACAAGACGAGGAAACATTTTTAACTTTGCTTTCAAATTATATCAAGACTATTGTTGCTTTATTTGTGACCGTTCATTCCTTAAGTCACTTATAAACTGCTCTTGTTGATAGAATTTCCATTTTAATCTGCCGCTAGACTGTCACCACATTCGGTTTATCCTAAACCTTCAGACAGTATTGTGTTAACGAACGACATTATGAATGTTTTTGGGATAAAGCAGCATTTAAGTGTTACCATGCAGATATATGGACGTCATATTCAAATGAGTTTTCCGGCCATTGTGTAATCTGTTCTTAGTAATGAAGTGTTTTGGCTATCTCAACACATTATTATTCATCCGAGTAAAACGTACTTTATGTTGAGAACGATGAGCATGTCAGACCACTGCCAACATCCATCTTCAAGAGATACATCACTCTTGTTTGGAATAACCACACCTCCCATAAGCAGATTGTGCTATAAACCGAAACCAATGGACTAATAGTCTTCGGAGGTATCCAATATCAACCAACTTACATTATAAACGGACTCTGGACATGCAACCATAAACATCTGACCCAAAGATTGTTTAGGCTATAGAAATGTTAATGAGATCAGTCATTTTTCTCAACGAGCACATTCCTATTAAGATAGTTAGACATCAGGTACAATCTTTCAAAATATCTTAAGAAATTCTCAACAACTAGTTGTTAAACTCAGGAATATTGGGCGTTTGTTAGTCTTGTGGCACAACCCACACATGGGGAGCATCAGTGTTTTGGCTACACAAGCAAATGTATATTTCATAGAAACACAGGACCTCACTAGTTTATAAGCAAGTAAACAGCATTTTATTGGCAAGAAACTAATGAAAATTTCCACGATAAGTCACTATTTGAACACCAAAGCTGTCCAAATACTCTAAATAAGGTTAATACTACATCAGTATCTATGCAAACACAATTTATTAGGAGATATATATATATTGGAGAAGAGTAGATATTTTGAAGAAGGAGCAGGTGTCAATTTCGAGACATTTTCCCTCCGTAGGGGAATTGTAAGGAAAATTTGTACTATCTCCCCGGGCTGGGAAAAGAGCGAAAATTTGACGCATATTCGTCTATATTTACGCTATATTTTTTATATCTTTTTTCAGAATTTCTGCCTTGATTTCCAACTTCTATATGATATATAATATAACTCCAACTTATATAAGTTGAAATGAATACTTTTTATGAGATAAGCATAAATCCTTCGCTTAACTATCATTCAACTAACTGAAATTTTCCAAATAAATTTACTGGTTTAACTAAACAATAATCCGCCAGTTTTTAAAGTAAATTAGTTCGTATCTTACCGTTGTCAACTTATTTAAAATATTGCCGGTTACTAGAACACCAAATTTCAAGTATCCAATATATTTGTGGCGAGCTTACATAAACTGATTGGTTTCTTTGGGCTCACTTCTTCCCAGGTCTCTAGCAATCTACGGTATTCGACGGTTTAGTCTTTCCAGTCAGTCAGGCAGTTATTAGTGGGTTTACATACCTTTAGGTTCAAACTTATGTATCGAGGACCGAAGGCCAATGGCCTGTGTTAGTTCTCTCCCAGTAAACTTCTATGGGTTTATCGTCCTCTTTTGAATGAATTAATTGAAGGGATGGTAAAAAGTTTCGGGAACCGATGACTTGTTATGAAATCCTTAATGTCATTGATATGTTGTTCTTTCTTGTCTCTTGAACCCGCTTGCTGTGTCCTCTGAGTTAGCCTGATCTGGTACAAAGAAAGAGAAAAGATACGTTCGGTTGAAAATCACTTCTTGGTATCCTGCACATCAAAGTCAGACTACGTTCTCGATCCGCACTGTGAATAGTATAGCTCGGAGTTCTGAAGTTGCACAGGTAAATGCCCTCCGCATTTTTTCCAACACATCCGAGTCACCGTTTAAATAGGGACTTGAAGCCTGAACACAGCCGTCAAGTTTGGATCCCACTAAGTTTGTGTATACTGTAGTAAATATATTGATATGCAACTTGGTAAATGCCCGTCTTAAAGCCCTAACAGTAATTGCATGGCAGTGAGCCGTCGTCTTAAGGTAATGTCTAACTGTTACTCCAAGATCAATGGGAAGCCAGACTGTGGGCACAGACCCGTCCCGTATGCTTGGCCTATTTATTTCGCAGTATAAAAAGTAAATGACCACATCCAGAGTCTTGCTGTACTCCACTAAGTACTGGTTTACAGTAGGAGCATTTGAGATAGACAGTTAAATCAACACGAACTTTCAATACTTAAAAATGGTCTCAATTTCAATATAAACAGAACACGGATTTCGGCTTCTGAAATTATCCCGTTGATCAAGCCTACCTTAAACAATGTTCCGGATGATCAGGCAAATACATTGAGGTTTAAAATCGCAGATGTAATTTTGAATCAAAAACCTAATACGCCTAATATCTCTAATGAAGAAACGTATGCCCTAAAACAGTTACGGAAAGACAGAAAAATTGTTATTATGAAAGCAGACAAGGAAAACACCAATGTTGTTATGAATAATTCTGACTATGAAAGAAAAAAAGTCAATGAACATCTCCATAATGGACCGTATGAAAAAATCATGAAGAGCAAATGTAGAGCCACTTTAAATAATTTGAAAGCTGAAACAGCCAAATTGCTACAGAATTTAAAGCCCAAACTAGGATCATCTTTATGGTTCTCTTTATATCCAAAAAGCAATAACCCGTGTAGATTTTATGGCCTACCAAAAATACACAAAACAGATGTACCACTAAGACCTGTGATTGATTACATTAATTCACCAACTTATAATCTTTCTAGATACTTGGCCAAAATTCTTAAACCATATGAAAGCGTAATAAAATATGGAATAAAAAATTCTAATGATTTCAAAAACATTGTCAGTAATATTCGGATAGAAGAGGATGAAATAATGGCAAGTTTTGATGTTTGCTCATTGTTCACTAATGTTACTGTTAAAAAGGCTTTAGATATTGTATATAACCTGTTAGATTCTGACACTCATCTTAAACAGCGTTGCCTTCTAGACTCCTCAGATATTATTAGAGCGTTGGAGTTTGCTTACATTCGATGGTTTTCATTTTTCGAGGAGTTCTGTTCAGACAAACAGGTGTGGCTATGGGAT